TATGACTGTTTTATCTCTTTAAAGAAAACAATGTGCCTACCTTAAAGCCAATTGGCCGATTTGGTATAAGTTAGGCTTCATAATTTAATTAGTATCCTTTTCAGATATTTTAATATATAAATATATTTATTTTTTATGATTATTTTAAAATTAAGACCAAGAAAAATTACTTTCATTAAATTTATGGACAAAATTCAAGCTTTACTGGTGATAGCATATTTTCTGAAAGGAATTCAATGGAAAAAATGAAAAGAATTCCACTGACGAGACCAGCCTAAATGTAGGCTATTTTTTCTTATTTAGTGCATTAAAAGCCGAAATGCTACCTACAATTAGAGTGATAGATATAAATGAAATGAAACAAAAAATATTGCTATACAATTGGCTCAGTGCATTTTATACTTTTACTCTTCAACTCTGAATGTCAACTTAAGAGTCTTGAAATGCGTAAGTATTGAAAATATTGCAACTATGCCATTTGTCAGTAGATAAATAACTCCATACACACTCATACAAAATAAGCTGGTATGCATTACCGTTAGTGGGAAATAATCAATTGAAAATTGAAATTTAAGAGGATTATAAAACGGCTTAAAACTAATAATGAATTGATTATGTTTGTATTGAGGCCAAGTTTAAATAGTAAAATGAGTTTTATGATAAACACGTTGGTAGCTGATGTGAAATGTCTTCAAAAACGAAGATAAATAGGCAACATAAATATTAATACTTGTAGTACGAGCACTACATTATTAATATTATATCAGTCGTAAGTGTTACGAAAGCTCTCGCCTCTCAAGCATATAATAGTAAGGAAGGATACTCTATGGAAAGTATGAAGCTTCAGTAGAAAAATCGATGACTTCAGAACACCCAGAGTTTCTTTTTCAAAACGTTTCGTGAACAAGTATCTTACTTCCCAATTCAATGAGAGAAACCCAACTTTATCACAGACCATTAAAAAGGCTATTGTTGTTAGGGCTCAGTGGTTCCCACACAACTGCGAAGTGAAAACGAAGTCGGATTGTTTGGTTATGTAAATCTACGACCCTATTCAACATTTTTTACTGGTTATTTATTTGGTCGAGACTTGTCGCGTCGGGCAATATGCGACTTACTTACAAAATTACTTAGTGACATTGTCACACATTGAGCAGTCCTCAGTTTTCGCAGTTTACATGCGACGATTTAAGTCTCGCCAACTGAACGCTGTCTGCTGTCTGTCGTCCGCCGGGCATCCACTCTTCACTATCCAGCAGCTGTTTCTGCTTGCGGCATTTCACGGCATTTCACGGCTCGCGTACATGGCAGTACTTCGTTAATGCGACGTATTGTAGAATGTCCAGCAGATAGTGGTGAGCAGTCGACTTCAAGTGGAACAATTAAGTTAACGGTGTGTGCGGTTGGCGAGCGACAAGCGTCTGACGAGGGATAGATTTAGTTCGAATGGGATGGAGGAGACCAGACAATGAAAGAGAATGTTTGGGGGGTTGCTAGCAGCTGTTGTGTCGTGGTCAGCGCATCAGGCCTTGGACAGCGGTCTATCTGCCAAGTCTGGTTCGACATGCTCGCACCGTGTTGACCGCGAAAAATGAACGAGTAAAATAAAACAGTTAAACTGAATTGAATCGTTAAAAGGCAGTTGACAGCCGGATGTGCGGCAACATGATGATACTATTGCAATGCGTGGACTACATATTAAAGGCATACATGTATGTATGTGGCGCAGTATTCCACGTAGGGATGTTGAAATACATTGCCTTCAGATGGTCGAAAAGCCTTATTTTCGAGTGAGTGACAACGATTCACTGTTGCTGTCAAATTCAATAGTCTTGAAAAAGGTTGAAGGTGAATCTCGGAAAAACATTGAATTTTGGGTCTGAAATCGGTAATATTGTGTCGTACGCAGAGTAGCACAGGCTCAAAAACTAATAAGCTTCCACTAAATGTTAGCTTTTGTGGAAGCTCCAAGCTCTTAGCGATTCCATTTAAGAGAGAGAACGAAAGGGTAGAAACTACGTCCGATAGATAGACGTCAGCAACTGAGATGAGGTGAAACTTTTGTAGTACCAAGAAAACTATTGTATCTAGAATTAACTTTCCAAATACTTTAGAAAAGAAATTTCTATCTTGTAGAGGAGAAAATCTCTCCAACCAAACCCGAAAAACTTGCTTATTATTTAGGCTTAATTTTGCTTCACCTTTTCCTTCAGACCACAAATATGTTCATTTTCACTTGTGGCTACGGCAGTAAATGCACATATGTAACTGAAAAGGTTTTCAGTCTTTTCAGCCTTCAGCCTTCCGCCGGCAGCGTCGTTACTCCTTTTCACAAGCACTTCCTGTTACAACAGCCGGAGGCTTGATTTTTTAACTTCTCTCACACACTATCTTCCTATATGAATGTACTAGCCATTCATCTGCTTACTTATGCTCGTATACTCCCCGCCATACACACTCTCTCACTCCAGCAAATATAGTGGTTAACTCGGCTTTGCGCTCTGCTGACTCCATAGTCCGAACCAGTCAAAGTGGAAGCCACTTAACTTATTTGCGAAATTTGTAGATTTGTGGTGGGTCAGCAACAAGTATTGTTGCTATTGTTGCGCCTATCTATTTTGCATTGTGTAACGGTGTAGTTTTATATATTTATTGCAGTTTTTATGTGTGCCCATGGACGTGTGATAACTGAAAACGGCTAGATGTTACTGAATTAGTGACATCAATTTAAGTGAGAAATATTGAATTTGTTTCAATTTAGTTCACAAATTTTAGGGTATTGCCTCCAATTATTTTGAGATTGTGAAATTAAAATTATTTGCTTTAAAAAAACAAACAACGTTCATTGTATTTGTGTATTTTTCTCTTCCTACGGTTAGGAAGGAAATTGCACGCAAATTATTTTGAAAATATGGATTTTTAAAATTTTTTTTGGAATTAAAAAATGTTACCAGTCTGAATTATTTTATGGAAATATTTCTTTGGAAAAGAAAATAAATTTAAGAAATCTATTATACTTCAGCTCTACGGCAATTTTTAACTTAAGAAATTCTTAACTAAACGCCAACAGCCGCAAATCAATTCACATAATTGCTCAGTAAAAAATTTGTTCGATATCCAAACGAGTTTTGATTGTCGTAGTTGGTATTTGCATGTGCAATTGGTCAATGAAAGAAAGTAAGAAAGAGAAACAGTGGTATGAAAGAAGCTATAGACTGTTCATATGCTGGTACTTGTGCTTCTACTCCAGACTTCGATTTTTAGTAAAAGAAAAATTTCAAAAAAGCTCAGCTGAAGAAAGTTTTGGAAAATAGTTGCCAACTGTTTCAAAAATTAAAATACTATAAACTGCGGTCACTATTTATATCAGTTCTTATAACTGAAAATTTGCTATTAATATATTTACTCATTGCTTATATTAAATACTTAAATTCGAATGATAGAACTATTTGGTGTTATAAATAATAAAATGTCTTACACAGTTTCAGACATAACATTTTGCTGTCATACTAATGAAGATAGCTACTTAGTTAACATATGCCTAAATGTATACTATGTTTTTTTGTTTATTGTATAAATAACTGAAAGGTTACCTATATTTAGGGTTATATAACCATGAGGACAATTTCCAATCATTCATAACTCAGAGAAACCGTATAACTTGTTTGACCTGCAATTGGTGTTAATATGTTATAAGGAAAAAAGTAAAAGTTTTCTGTTAAGATTCACGAACAAGAGTAAAGGGTGTAAACTAACTAGATTAAATTTTACATTGTGAAAATAAAATTTCTTTTAAATAATAATAAAAATGTTAGTGTTTCAGATTTCGCTAATAAGGTCTAGAGTCAATTACCCAAACCACTGTTTCACTTCATTAAAAACTATTCTTCTCGGCTATGTGCATTGTAATCTTCTTTGCAACAGATATTAAAAATTGTTTTAATATATAAGCTTTGGGTATGGACTACCCTACTCTAATATAGATGTGAGAAATCGATAATGTTTTTAGAAAAAATGTTCGAACAATATATAAGAAAATAGTTCTCTCATATATATTTTTTTTTATTTCTTAACTAGACCAAAATTTTTACTAATCTGCAAAAAGAAATCATTTGGGGTATTTGAAAAATATAATTAAAAACACTGAGTACAAAAACTCTGTGAGCAGGGTTGCCACTTATGTAGAATTTTTAAATTCAAGTGATAGATATACGGTTTTTAAATCATCAAAAAAATCTCTATAGATGTAATGAGAAGCGGAAATGATATATTTAATAATTTTATTAAAATATTTTTGAGATAAAATAAAATTTCGAAACTATATAATTGTTTTTAAATAATGTACTGTACTTTATTTACATGTGGAGAAATTTAGGAATGCTTTCAAAATTTTTTTATTTATATAAATTCAAGGCTGCCATATGTTAGTATTTTTTATTGAAAAGTATATTTGTTAGAACTCTTCAATGATGCACAAAATGTTTAATAAATAAAAATAGTATACGCAAAAAAAAATCAAAAAATTGTTGTAAAATACAAGTTCTCAAAACTATGGTTGCCATAGGTAATCAAATTTAGCAATTAAAAATTTGATATAATAAATATTAGTACTTCTAATAAATAATAACTAAAGTGGAAAAAAATTATAGTGAATGAAAAAAGTAAGAGGACTTATAAGCTCACCCTATATATACCTTATATATAAATAAATACAATTAAAGTGATATTTATATTCTGAATATAGAAAAAATAACTCGTTTTATTTTTAAACTAAAGTAAAAAAAGTCGTAATATTGTACGCAGTAGTCTAGCTCTTTTATTACTTTTTTTTAACTTTTTTAAAGATTATTTATTTATCACTAACATGGAATACCTAAACTAAATGAGCAATTTATGATAATTAGTTGTGGCATTTCCCTTAAGCTTAGCAATTATTAATTAGTTATTTCATGCTAGACGCACCGTGCGCCGCTACTTAAACAATAGATCTCAGTACTTACTTACATAATTTGCCATCAATTCGCCGCAAATTGCGCATAATAAAATTTGCCATAATTACACGTACTTAAATGTATGTTTGTATATCACTAAAAGTGTAGCCTCCTACGTTGCCTCCACCACCGCCATGGATTCATCTAGCGACGAGATGCCAACGGCGCCGCCGACCGCGCGAACCACGCACACGATACTGCCACAACAACAGCAGCTGTTGCGAGAGGGTGCGTAAGATGCGAAGCTCAATTGTCGCCGCCGCAATGAGCAAGGTCACATTCACACTCAGCGCCATCGACGCGGCGGACGAGCCGAGATTGCCCTTCGTCAGCTGATCTTCACAGCGACCAATTGAATCGATGTCCAGCTCAGCCATAGCGCGACCGTTTACATCCAGCGGCGAAATGCAGTAGTTCTTCAGCAAAAATTCACTAAGATTGTGGGCGCCTTCGACCAGTGGTCCATCGAGTAGCGTGTGTATGTGACAGCCGCAGGGAAAATGATTGTTCACCAGTTCCAGCTGTGAGACACCATCGATGATTATGGAGTTGGGATCGGGCGTCTCCAACACATGATTGCCGTGAAACTTTAGCAATTTTATATCCGCTGTGTAGGTAAAGTTAAGTTCTTCAATCAAATCGATTTTGTTATTCAATATCTGTAGTTTGTCCACCTGCGATAGACCGGTGAAAGCGTCGGCGCATATAATGCCCAAATCAGACTCTTGCAACGTCAGCAGGAGCACATTTGTCAGGCCGCGGAAGGTGTATGGCGAGAGCTCCTTCAAATCCATATACGCGAGCTTCAGCAAACCCACCGTGTCCATGCCGAGGAAGGCATCCGGCTCGATGGTGCGTATGCCGGACGGTAATATCAGATGACCGACATTGGTGAGGCTCGAGAAGGCCGAGCTGTCGATGCGTATGAGTGGATTGTTCGAAAGTAAAATCAATTTGACATTCGATGTGCCGGCGAAGGCGTTACCCTCGATGGTCGCAATTTGATTGTGGCTTAGCAATATGGTCGATAGATTTTGAAGACCAGCAAACGCGAACTGCGCGACAGTCTGCAACGGCGTGTACTGTATGGAGAGCTCTTTGAGACGCGGCAAACCGCGAAAGGCGAACTGTTTGATGCGCGTTATATTATTGCCGTCCAGCGAGAGCTTCTTCAGCGCGCGCAATCCGGCAAAGGAATCTGGTTTTATGACTGGGAAATTGTTTTTCGTTAATGCGAGATTCTCCACGGTTGAGGGTAATTGCCGCAATGGAATCTGCGCCAGACCGCCAGTGTTACACAGCACCTGTGGGAATAGACAAAGAATTAGTGAGTTCGAGAGCTACAGCAGTGGTCGCGTTAATAGCATAATTGTTGTGTTGTGGCTGAGTACATACTCGACGCGTATAGAAGGGCGGGACCAAAAGCGCAACGCAAAACAAACTAAACAAACAAAAGCGCGAAATAGAAAGAAAACAACAAAAAAAAACGTTATATAGTGTACTCCAGGGAGCTGCGTCGCGCTGTGTATTTGCTCTGACAAGTCAAGGTGTGAACTACCGTGCTGTCGTGGCGTGGCAGTGTGCGCGTTTGCAATTGCTTCGTACGTAACTTTGTTCTCGCCAGAAGCGCGATTTTTATTGCGAAACTGTCTGTCCGTCTCGTTGTCCGTCTGTCTGCACATTCATCGGCATATCTATTTCCACGCATCTTAATGTTCATGTTTATGTTTATGATTTTGTTTTCACAATTTCTACACGCTTTTTTTTCGTCGCCTTTGTTTTCACTTCGGCTTTCACTTCATTTCTCAGTGTACGTTGTGTTGTGGCGCTTTATGGCGTTAAATGCGTTCGTGGGTAAATTGAATATGCGTCATTATTGTAGCAAATTAAATTAAATCGACTTGCGTTAAAAACGCCCCTCCCGTTCTACTTCTGTCTTCTATAGCGTAGAAAATTGATTATTTCTGCACACGCCTCTCTTTCTTCATTTCCCACGAATCAAATATGACACAAGAGCCTGCTGTGTAGGCGCTACATTGAAGTGCGTTCGTCTATGTCTCGTGCTCGGTGTGTTGTGTGGCGGCGCTCTATAGGTGCCCCCACTACTGCATGGGGAAGTGCCAAATCATGAGCGCCATTAAATGCGCGTGATTTTTGACTGATTTCCTTTTCAACTTATTCAACTAAATTGAATTAAATTAGACACGCATGCCAGCCAGTCGCACGCCAGGTGCTGGGGTACTGCAGTGGTGCGGAAGTAAATTTCACATTCCCGGTGTTGAATGAATATAAAGTTGACTTTTATGGTCGAATTTCATTTGTTCGCAATTGTAATTGTGATGAACTCTCTTTTTGAATGTGTAAATGAAATAATGCGTTTGCAAATTTAGGTTGTGAGCTTATGTTGGAGGTTTTTGAGCTTTAAGCTGAATGTATTTAAATATTTAAATATTTAATTTAATCCATAATTGACTGGTTCTGAAGTTTTTTATTGACAAATACATACTTAGGTTTCAGAGCAACCAAAAATTTCGGAAACTCTGAAAACTGGAACTAAGTGTTCGGAATTAGAACGTTTGGCGCCGACTCTTTAGATACCTGTTACTCAACATTGGGCTTTTCAAAACGTTATGTTAGTATAAATTTGAGAAAAAAGCTCTCCTCAGCGATCGAAGCAGATCAGGGGCTGAAAATATGTGGAAATAATAACTGTGTGAAATTCTACAAATTTGGTAAGAAAATCGACCAAAATCTGTCATTTAAAAATCACTGTAAAAATTAAAATGGCTGTTGATAAGAATGGTCTAAGCGCATTCTCTACGAAAGTTTTCTAAACTCTATACTTTTCCGGTTTTAGGTTCATTACTAAACCCTAATATCATAAACAATAAAACTACAGTAAAAACAAGCCACTAACAAAAAAACAAAAAAAAAAATCCAATAAGTACTATGATACTGTCTTAGCCCTATTTATTGCCATACAAATATCGGTGTATTCAAAATTAACATTTGTTTAAAAACGCGAAACCTTAAACTTGAGTTTATAATACAAAAAAAAAAAAATATATATATATAAAAAAATCGATGTTGGAGCTACTTCTAGGTTTATTAAAATTATTTTAAGCTAAACTCTAAGTGTCTTAAACTTATCTCCGGGGCTCGATTTTGTTTTGTTATATATAAACAACTGTAAATTTTGGATCTTATATGAGTTCTCTGTTAGGTATTTATAAACTCTGAGCTTATCACATTTTTTGTTTGGAACTCAACAGGGTGTTTAAAAGTGTTGTTAATGCTAAACACCAATTAAACTCTAGTTTGTGGAACAGTATGAATATATTATAATGTAATCTAGTCTTCAAAGGGAGTTAAATTACATTTCTTATGTGCTAAGCTCCGTGTTTATTAATCGTGTTCAAGTCAAACACCAAAATGAGCAATAAACTCGAATGGATGGAGTAAACAACAAAAAACATGTTATTCAAAGCGAGTTGAAGAAATTTTCTTGCGTAGTGAACTCAGTGTTTTATGAGTGGTGTTTAAGCTAAACACTAAAATTGTCATTAAACTCTGGCTTATGGTGCAGCATGTGTTTAAAATACTGTGCTGTGCCGACTTATTTTCTATAATCATATTTTATGATTTCGATTATTTAAATTTATTTCGTAAAATACTCAGTACTTTCGCATGCGAACAGTAAACTGAAATCTAAATTCTCTTCACCCATTTTCCTCTAACACCCGTTATTAGTTTTCATATTTTTTGCATATCATCTTTGCAATTCTTACACTTCACTGCCATTTCGCTAACAATTTTATTAGAACAATAATTGCAAGTTTCATGTCGCGTCATCATTGTTGAAAAATGGAACGCCATTGCGAAAACACGCAGTCTCGCAGAAGTGCAGAAGAATAGGAATGTTTGACGCAACCAACTGATTGTGGAGGCAAGCGTCGCACTATACACACAGCAAATGCGAAGCTGAAGCCACATCAAGGAGCAGCGCTTTGGCTACACAGTGGGGAATTGACCATATAATAAAGCGACGCAAAGGGCTGAAGCCAAGGCGACTCATTTGCCAGTTGCATCTCATGACGCATCACTGAGCGTGCGGGTTGATCTGTCTTTAGCCGCAACCACCAACCCATATTTAATCTGGAATAATGAAATTACTTAAATTTTCCAATTTACTAGCAATTCGTAAGCGTAAACGTATTGAGGTCTCCCTCGAGTGGCGCTGAAGATGATTTGGAGGGGATGAGTGCCAGCCATAAGCGATTTCCAACAACTATTTCCAAGTGGGTGTGTGTAAATGTCAGCGCCATGCCAGACAACAATGAGCGAACGCGGCGGTTGCCATTGGGGACGCGTTCTATTAGTGTCTTCTCCACGGGCTTGATTTTTATGAAGACAAAAAGCAGCAAGCTGCATGGAGTGGATAAATCAGAAACCGCTGGCGAATTGAAATCACGGAAATAAGCATTTTCTTGCCATGCTGGTTAAGGGAGAGGAAAAAATGAGAATCATTTGAAAAGCAAATAAAAAGCAAAAAGGCACGAGACACAAACACTGCGAATGCAGAATCTTTGTTAATATACTAGTTTTCTTTTCAGCCACTTATTGCTTTACTTGTACGTGCGTTCAGATGATTCGAAAAAATTGTTGTTGCCTTTGAGATAGCTTAAATCTACACTGTCTTATAACATTTGCTCTTAATGCAGTTGCGTAATATTTTCTTAGTTCCGTCTTCTATATTTTCGAATTTTACTAAATTAAAAATGCTCTAGCTTGATCTATCGCTATCTATCAGTTATGTCTCGCTAGAAGTCTAGAATTCTTAGTATATAAAGCCTTCGAATACATTGAATTTTGAAAATGAAAACACCGAACAATTCACTACGCTGTTGTTTATCGTTTTGAAACTTAGAGTAGGTCGAAAAGGTTGATGATTTTGCTCAAATTAAATTTTCACCTCGACCGCCAACTTAAAAGCAACGCTGTCATGCGCAAAAAATCGATATTCGATACATACTTTTTGAGAATAATGGCTGAGCTGAGTGTTATACTTATATTATAGATTGATTATTTGTATTTCGAGATTAATCTGAGAAACTTGAAACAATTTAAAATTTTATACAAATTTGATTATATTGTTAAGTTATAGATATAAATATTCAACGAATTTGGTTATTACTTCACGCATTAATATAACGATACTTCGATTTTTGTAGCTACGATTACTTAAAACTGTCACATCTGGGGAACGAAAGACTCGGACGAAGTATCCGTGCGTTCTGATCAACTTCAGAGATTCACCGTTTGTTGCAGTGGTATCGTTAGCTCATGTTTTTCATTGAAAAACCGGGTAGCAACACAATTTCTGTGATAAATTATGCTGTTTTATAGCCAAGGCTCATGTGATCCATTAACTGGTTTGATCTATTAAGTGAAAATTAAATAACTCATTCGTGAGAAAGAGCTAGGCTATCCCAGCTCATTCGCTAGATTATTGAACAGTTTCGACTTCAAATTTACTTAATTTGGCATTATTTCCAAACCCAAAAAATGAAGATGCAAATATATTTTTTTTTTACAACCGCTAATCCCCTAATTCGTTCCTTCGTTTCTCTTCTCCTCGATTATTAGCATTTTATCAATAATCGCGTGATTTTTGAATTATTATCTCCTTTAAATTAGTTACTTTTCGTGCGCTACCCTTTCACCACTTCTTGGACTCATAATTTTTTCGCGATTTTCAATTCTTTTCAATCCGCTTTGCCTTTTCGCTAGTTTCTGTTTAAAATTCCGTTTTATTATTATTTTTTGTTTTTGTTGCATTATTATTGTTTTTGGTTGCCTTTGTTGGACTCTGCTGCTTTGGATGTCTGCATTAATGAATTTACTGTTGTGTGGCATGTTTCTGTCTGCTGTTGACAACACTTTAGTCGCTGCCATTGCCACTAATTTCTTATTTTCCATTGTTGTCTTTATTGTTGCTTTGTGAACTGCAACTTGCAGTTACATTTTTGGTATAGTTGTTACGTTTTTAGTGTGTCCTTATTATTTTGCGCTACCATTCACTTTACTTTACTTAACGGAAATCTTTTGCTCTGTTTTTGAGCTCTATAGTCTTGAAAGTCGGTCTGCATTAATTTGCTTGTGTGGTTTTTGCATTTCGCTGATTTGATTTTCCATATTTTAATAGCCCAATGCTGGCTAGATTTTTTTTTTTATAAAAAGAGTTGTGTTCATGCTAATTAAAAGCATGCTATATTTGGGTTTCAGTCGCTTTGCGACTTTGTAATTTGTATGAGAAGTCTTACGAGTTTCCGAGGGTTTTCTTTCTGTGGTAAACTTTACCTGAAGAGCCTTGCTGTGGGTACACTTGTGAGGTTTAATGTACCACGTTTCTCTCAAGGCCCCTTTTATGAATCAATACTCTCTACAGAACATCGCGAAAATAATTATATGCACCATTTTTTTCTGAGATCATCTCCAGGACGAAACGTCATAAATGCTATAAAGTATATATATATAACTTATCAGCGTGACGAGCTGAGTCGATTTAGCCATGTCAATCTGTTTGTCTGTCCGTCTCTCAATAACATTTTTTATTTAAGCGGAGACACACACCTAGTTTAGCACTTACTTCGTTATTTCAAAAATTAATATGGCTATTTTAAATAACGATGTAAAAATATGAAAGAAAAGAACAAAAAATCAACTCTGTGCAAATATCAAGCCTCACCACCGTGTTCACATCCCCCCACACTCTCTGATTTTCATATTATTATTATTATAATTTAAATATTTTTTGTTTTTACCCTTGTGAGCCCTTTACTTACTTGTGTCTGTGATAAGCAGATGCACTCGGCTGGGCATGATTTCGATGTTTCGGACAGCTGCGAGTTCCATAAGCATTCCAGTGTAATCGCAATTATGAGGAGCCAAGAATTGCACATTTCACGGTGTGTTGAGCACGGAATGATGCCGGCACGTGCTGCACTACTACCACTACTACAAGAACAACAACAGCAACAACTGCGAATACCGTTAGACGAAGAATTGTTACACTGCTGGTATGACTCGAGCAGCGAGTAAACTACGCGCTATAACAACAACGCCACTCACAAGCGCTGAGGGACTTCTGGAGTGAAATTCTCACCCTTGCCTCCTTGCCCTTTTTTGCTTATTTACACCCTTCGGCGCTTCTATGCTTCTGTTACTATGCCTTCGCTGCGTGTTTTTCTTGTTATTGTTGTTGGTTATGTTGCGCTAATGAAATACTGAAGTCCTGCAATGCAACGAGAAGAGAGAAAAAAGAAAACATAATAATTTTTACGCAAAAAAATGCGGTAGCAAAAAAGAGGAAAACAGCAACAACAAGTTTAAAATGTGAGAATCCGAGAAAATAGAGGCAGATTGAATTATATGAGAGCGAAAATACGCAAGAGGATTTTCATAATTTTGTGCTCGCTGTTTTTTCGTACAATATTTTATTATTATTTATGTTGTTGTTTTTTTATTTAACGGCGGTTGGCCATCACTTCATCGTTTTTTCGAAGCAACAATGTGTCCGAGTAATTTTCGGTTGGCACGCAATGTGAGGCTACTTGCAACGTCAGGAATTTGCAGCCAACTGAAAAACGTGCGGACAACAACAAAAACAAATGTCAGCGAAAAGACTGACTAAGAATTAGCGAAATCCCACAAAAAACGAGAACAACAATGCCAACAACTGCAGCAGGTACTGTTGTTATGTGTATGTGTGTATTGTGGCGTTAGGGTGCAACAACAAGCAGTCGAGATTTAATTAATGACATTTTGTTGCACACAATTCTTGGATTACGTTGTTAGTGCCTTCGTTGCTTGTGGATTTTCGTTTGCACATTTGTTCTTGTTTTTTTGGGGTTTGCTCCTAAAACTTATCGGTATATATTTAAGGATTTCTGTGAGTTTATGTGTACATATTAGGGTTTATGCTTTGGAGAGTACCAGTTAGCTGCTTATTGTGGCATGAAAAAATATCTTAGTTTTTGTCAATATACACACAAAAAAGTCTTAATTTTATTATTAAATTTTTAACCGCGCTACCAGATTATCTGTAAATTGTTGAAGTATATATTTATGATAGTATTCATAAAAAAAATTTTTGTAATTTTTATTTTGTACGTGTATGTGTGTATTTGGGTGTTCGTTATTTTTTAAGTTGTTTGTTTATTTTTAATTTTTTTCGTGAAAACATTCTTTTAAATGTTACAGCACATCAAATGTACTGAGCATTCATACAAGTAATATATACATTCTCTGTTGCTCATACGTCATGGCGTACCATATGAATACAGTTTATTTGATGTATAATGTTAACTGCGTATAATTTTTAAAGGAAAGAACCATCTTTCTCGGCAATATACTATTAACTGGGTATATAATAGACACCCAAATGTATATATTCTAAAAGTTTATGGTTTTATATTCTCTATATACCTCTAAAAAATGTATATCATATAAATAGAGTTGCCAGCTAACCATATAAAAAATTATATATTTTGTTGTTTCATAAAGTACACCCAGTAATGCAAAAAAACACATCGTTATAGAGTTGTCTTACGAATATATCTTTGCATGGGATTTTTTAATTGTTATTGAAACATCAAAAATTTTTTGGACGCCATTTATATCATTATTCTAACAGTGAATTATTTTCATAAGTATGATATTTTTTTATATTTTAAGTTTTAAACAGCTGAACATTTTTCTAAAAACTAGTTTAATATAACATTTTGAAAGCTCATAGAATTTCATTTTGGTAGTAGCGGTGCTACGATCTGATGTTTAAATTTTTATATAACTATTGCAATGGGAATTAGGGTTAATATGAGCAGAACGAATTTTATATGCTGCTAACCTACTTTTCAATACATAAGAAATGCTAACGGTAAAATAACTTTCTAATTACAAAAGCATTAAAGCAATGAGATTCCTCGCCATCCACATTCCAACCAAAATCCATACATACACACATATATAGTTATATATACGCACACAATTAGGAATTATTTTCATTCAAAGAACGCAATTTCACACACAATAACAACTACAACATCTAATAGACTCTCCTCGCTACTTATTTATTTATTTCATTGCAAAACAAGTCGAGTAAAAATAAAAACCACAACAACAAAGTAAATGAAACAAGCTCCATTTGAACTCAACTCAAATTGCTATTTCCATTGGCAATGCTGTACAACTCGGTAAGCTTTTATTAGCCGCCTAATGTGGACTTAAAGGATTCGCATTTTAGAACATTAAAAAATCACAATAGGAAAATGGAAGCTGCGGGGCAATAAAAGGTAAAACTACACTCCGCCCAACGTAAAGGAGAAAAAGGTAAATGCCGACTTAATGCAAAGGGCAGCTGTGACTCGTAATTTCCCGAAACTGTGAGGAGGGAGTCGAGCTGGGTAGGCGGTTAGGTATAGTACGGCTGCATGAAAGCTAAAATGGGAAAATGCTACTAATAGCAACCACAACAAAAAGTGGGAAAATGATATTAATAGCAACAACAACAACAAACATGGAAAAATTATACTAATAACAGCAACAGCAGCAACGTATGCTGTAAATTGGTAACAAGGGCATTACAAATTGAGTATAAAATGCCTGCCGGCCAGTTGAACGAATCTTCTGCACGAAAAATATAGGTAAATCATTTGAGCAGTGAAGCACATGCCATTTGTACACTAAATACATGTATGTGCAGCAGACCTGTAAAATCAAAATATTATATACCTATAAAAATATAAATTTTTTTGTAGCTGGTACATATGTATATTCATATGCTCTACTATATTTTATCACAAAATTTTCTGCTTATGGTTACCAATTATTTTTGAAAATAAAGTAAATAAAAATGAATGAGAAACATAAAAAAAAATATATTTTTTCAGATGTTAATGTTAAAAAGTAGTTGCCACCTTTTAAATAATTAATACAAGCAAATAAATGGTTATTTCAATATTTCGAAAATTGTATACTAAAATCAAAGAAAATTTGTAAAAATCGTGTTTATTAAGTTACTTTTTCTGGTGTTGCCATTTATTAAAAAAATATGTTTAAGAACAATTTTACTGAGGCTTAGCTTTTAATGGATTGCAAAAGTACATGCAAATGGTCTCTTACATTTGATTCGAAAAATTTCTTCATAGGATTATTATTTATTTTTGAAATTAGCGGTACACCAATTAATTTTATATGTTAATAAAATAAATAAAATTTAATGGCAAACACCTAAAAAAACTACTTTTTATCTGTTAATTTAACGGAGTTGCCACGTTCTAAAAAATGTATACATGCAAATAAAACATTTATACATTTTGAAAACATTATTGAAAATTAAAGAGAATGTGTGAAAATCGTGTTAATGTAGTTAGTATGTTTCAAGAAAGTTTTATTGAATTTTAGCTTTTAATAAATCATGAAAGTAGTGATTTAGATTTTTTCGAAACAATTTGCGCAAAAGCTCGTATGGTTTTTAGAGTTGCCACTTATTCAAAAATATGTTTTAAAATAGTTTTTGGTTTATTACTTTATTAAATTTATAATATTTGTTACTAAATTACACAAAAACTTCAATTTTCGTTTTAAAATTATTTGAAACCATTTTGTAGCGTTTCAACAGCCTTACCATACAGTCTGCAAGTGCAAAATTTACCAATGCTTCGGTTAAATGAAAATATTACTATATTATAGTTTACAGAAATGAAGGTAGGCGTTACAAATAATTTTCAATGGAGTTGCCACGAATGTGGATTTTTTTATGTATTCATTCATTGTTAGATATAGTTTATAGGGAAATTACAATAAAGTGTGTAATTCTTCAGCACAGCAAATTTGTTTTGCAAATAATTGCCATTAAATACATAGACTAAATAAAATGAAACATAATATTTAAAAGAAAAATGGCAATATTTTCAGAAAAATATTTTAAAATATATATTATATGAAATGATTTTAATAAGTAAAATTTTCAGAAATAATTTTGAAAACAAAATTTGTATTTGCATAACAATAATACATACATGACTTATAAAAAGAATAATTCGTTTTAAATATTTTTGGTGGGAATTAATTTAATATTTTTTAATTAAATATTAATTATTTTCAATCATTTTGAATTTATTTTTCATGTGGAATGAATTGGGCTTGTTGTGTATAGAGTTGCCATTTAGAAAAATTTACAGCGACTTTGATTACAAAGAGTTAGAGTGAGCTCTGGTAAATAATATTACAAAAAATAAATATTTTATTTCAATAGGGTTGCCACTTAATTTTATTTGAAACATTTATTTAATTAATAAATTTTATTGTGGGTTCAAGAGTAAGATTTATGTTATTTTTCATACCGAATTTGTTTTTTATAAGTATATCAACAGGGTTGCCATTTACTTTAATTTTAAATATTTTTATAGAAGAATCAATTTTATTGCGCACTCAAAAGTAAGATTTGGACCACTTTTCTTGCCGAAAAATAAAAAATATACCCATAACAATATACAGTGGGTTGCCACTTAATTTGATTTGAAATATTATATTAAATTAATAACTTGTATACTTATATTTATTTTCCTCTTAAAACATTTTCAGTAGTGTTGCCACCTTTTCTAACAAAAAAATAACAAAAGACTTCAGATGTAAACAATATATATTCACGTATGGATACATATACTGGTATGTATATATGTATACTATTTATTTACCATGCATCACATATCACGTATCTATGCTTGTGCAATATATACATTTCTGTTTTTTAATATACGCCAGCTAACCATTAGTACGGTGTAAATATTAAATAGCTAAGATTATAAATAAATCTGCTTACACTGCACTGCACTTCTTTCGTTTTTATGTCCTTTGCAACACTTTACACATAGCCGAGCAATATTTCTGTTTTTCACTTTCGTGCGCTGTCGCAGTAATTCCCGGCTTGTGTGTCCTTATTGCATTTGCTCCGCAGCTCTTTCTCACACACATACACACTTTCTTTCTCTCTAACTCTCTGCACATTTCTTTTATTCCGTTCGAGCATACTGCCAACGGTGCAGTTGACCATTTTGGCCACATGCAGCGCAGTGTCGCATAAAATTGTTGCCATCACACACGTACACAATCACCCATAAACATATGTATTTGTAAAAATATGAATTTAGCTGTGCGCTGTGTGGCTACATTCACCATTCGGTTTGTTATTATTAGGTGTGCGCAAAACTGGAAGCATACTTTTGGGCGGTC